GTTTATTTGTGTCTGTGTGTAGTTTATTTGTGGTGTGTGTAGTTTATTTGTGGTTTGTGTGTAGTTTATTTGTGTCTGTGTGTAGTTTATTTGTGGTGCGTGTAGTTTATTTGTGGTCTGTGTGTAGTTTATTTGTGGTGTGTGTAGTTTATTTGTGTCTGTGTATAGTTTATTTGTGGTGTGTGTAGTTTATTTGTGGTGTGTGTTCATTTGTGGTGTGTGTAGTTTATTTGTGGTGTGTATAGTTTATCTGTGTCTGTGTGTAGTTTATTTGTGTCTGTGTGTATTTATTTGTGGTGTGTGTAGTTTATTTGTGGTGTGTGTAGTTCATTTGTGGTGTGTGTAGTTTATTTGTGGTGTGTATAGTTTATCTGTGTCTGTGTGTAGTTTATTTGTGTCTGTGTGTAGTTTATTTGTGGTGTGTGTATTTTATTTGTGGTGTGTGTGTAGTTTATTTGTGTCTGTGTGTAGTTTATTTGTGCTGTGTGTATTTATTTGTGGTATGTGTAGTTTATTTGTGTCTGTGTGTAGTTTATTTGTGTCTGTGTAGTTTATTTGTGGTGTGTGTAGTTTATTTGTGGTGTGTGTAATATATTTGTGTCTGTGTGTAGTTTATTTGTGGTCTGTGTAGTTTATTTGTGTCTGTGTGTAGTTTATTTGTGGTGTGTGTAGTTTATCTGTGTCTGTGTAGTTTATTTGTGGTGTGTGTAGTTTATTTGTGGTGTATGTAGTTTATCTGTGTCTGTGTGTAGTTTATTTGTGTCTGTTTGTATTTATTTGTGGTGTGTGTAGTTTATTTGTGTCTGTGTGTATTTATTTGTGGTGTGTGTAGTTTATTTGTGTCTGTGTGTAGTTTATTTGTGGTGTGTAGTTTATTTGTGTCTGTGTGTATTTATTTGTGTCTGTGTAGTTTATGTGTGGTGTGTGTAGTTTATGTGTGGTGCGTGTAGTTTATGAGTGGTGTGTGTAGTTTATGTGTGGTGCGTGTAGTTTATGTGTGGTGTGTGTAGTTTATGTGTGGTGTGTGTAGTTTATGTGTGGTGCGTGTAGTTTATTTGTGGTGTGTGTTCATGTTGGATTGAATCTGTGTTTTTATTTTCTTGGTGAGTGATAAATAAAGTGTGTGAAGTTGTTCATGACAGAAACCAAACCTCAGACAGCTCTTCATCGATCACCTCCTCTTCCTCTGTAGTGTTTACATCATCAGGAGATCAAACGACCTTCTGACCTTCATCTTTATGATGTCATACTCAGTGAACCTGCTGACCTGAGACCAGCTGTCATTGTGTTGTCATATAAAACTATAGTCATCTTTGCTGTGTGTGATCATGTGACCATCAGAGAGTGGAGCAGCTGACCAATCAGTGTGAAGACGTCATCAAACTGCTGCAGAAAACCATCAACATCCTGCAGACCACACCTCTACCTGCTGCAGCCCAGGTAACACACACACACACACACACACACACACACTGAAGTGATCTCTGGATCAATAAGTCAGTGCGCACAGAACTAATCAGTAATCGTATTGATAACATGGCGTGTTTTTCTCTCAGTGAACTGAACAAGATGTCATCATAATATTAACACTGGTTTTATTCCAGTATGACATCCCATCACGTCCAGTCCTCCCAGTTCACACACACACATTCAGTCACACTCACAGAGCTCTCTGTCTCTTTGTTTCCCAGGATGCCGAGCAGCTGCTGTCCAGGTACCAGGCGGTGATGCGCAGCATCCTTGAAGACAGCCGGTTGGTGCAGCTGCAGCAGGAGGGCGGGGCCTCGCTGTCACGGCTCCGCAGGGAGGAGAGCAACGTTGGCGTGACGGCAGATCAGCGGGCAGCGGTGGAGACGGTGTCGTCTCTGTACGACGAGGTGGACGAGCTGCTGCACCGCCTGGTGACTCTGTCCAACTCCAGGACGCAACAGCTCAACTTCATCCTGAACTTCAGCAGCCTGGAGACGGGCTTCAGCGAGGTCAGTCTGAGCACGCTCAGTACACACATCTGACTGACAGCTGACTGACTGTGATACCAGTGTGACGCTCAGTCATTGGAGGGAAACTGTGACATCACAGAGACAAAGTGTCTTCAGACGTTCATCAGACTGTAGAAACAAACAGGACTGTGATGTCACAAAACTGCTCCTACAACTCCCACAATTCACTGCTGCTGTTTTATCAGTTAGACATGATGAGACGTCGAGCTGTCCCACAGTGTGTCCCACAGTGTGTCCCACAGTATGTCCTACAGTGTGTGTCCCACAGTGTGTGTCCTACAGTGTGTCCCACTGTGTGTCCCACAGTGTGTGTCCCACAGTGTGTGTCCCACAGTGTGTGTCCTACAGTGTGTCCTACAGTGTGTGTCCCACAGTGTGTCCTACAGTGTGTCCTACAGTGTGTGTCCCACAGTGTGTGCCACAGTGTGTGTCCCACAGTGTGTCCTACAGTGTGTGTCCCACAGTGTGTCCCACAGTGTGTGTCCCACAGTGTGTCCTACAGTGTGTGTCCCACAGTGTGTGTCCCACAGTGTGTGTCCTACAGTGTGTGTCCCACAGTGTGTGTCCCACAGTGTGTGTCCCACAGTGTGTGTCCTACAGTGTGTGTCCCACAGTGTGTGTCCTACACTGTGTCCTACAGTGTGTCCTACAGTGTGTCCTACAGTGTGTGTCCCACAGTGTGTGCCACAGTGTGTGTCCCACAGTGTGTCCTACAGTGTGTGTCCCACAGTGTGTCCCACAGTGTGTGTCCCACAGTGTGTCCTACAGTGTGTGTCCCACAGTGTGTCCCACAGTGTGTGTCCCACAGTGTGTCCTACAGTGTGTGTCCCACAGTGTGTGCCACAGTGTGTGTCCCACAGTGTGTCCTACAGTGTGTGTCCCACAGTGTGTGCCACAGTGTGTGTCCCACAGTGTGTCCTACAGTGTGTGTCCCACAGTGTGTCCCACAGTGTGTGTCCCACAGTGTGTCCTACAGTGTGTGTCCCACAGTGTGTCCCACAGTGTGTGTCCCACAGTGTGTCCTACAGTGTGTGTCCCACAGTGTGTCCCACAGTGTGTGTCCCACAGTGTGTCCTACAGTGTGTGTCCCACAGTGTGTCCCACAGTGTGTGTCCCACAGTGTGTCCTACAGTGTGTGTCCCACAGTGTGTCCCACAGTGTGTGTCCCACAGTGTGTCCTACAGTGTGTGTCCCACAGTGTGTCCCACAGTGTGTGTCCCACAGTGTGTCCTACAGTGTGTGTCCCACAGTGTGTCCCACAGTGTGTGTCCCACAGTGTGTCCTACAGTGTGTGTCCCACAGTGTGTGTCCCACAGTGTGTGTCCCACAGTGTGTGTCCTACAGTGTGTGTCCCACAGTGTGTGTCCTACACTGTGTCCTACAGTGTGTCCTACAGTGTGTCCTACAGTGTGTGTCCCACAGTGTGTGCCACAGTGTGTGTCCCACAGTGTGTCCTACAGTGTGTGTCCCACAGTGTGTCCCACAGTGTGTGTCCCACAGTGTGTCCTACAGTGTGTGTCCCACAGTGTGTCCCACAGTGTGTGTCCCACAGTGTGTGTCCCACAGTGTGTGTCCTACAGTGTGTGTCCCACAGTGTGTCCCACAGTGTGTGTCCTACAGTGTGTCCTACAGTGTGTGTCCCACAGTGTGTCCCACAGTGTGTGTCCCACAGTGTGTCCTACAGTGTGTGTCCCACAGTGTGTCCTACAGTGTGTCCTACAGTGTGTGTCCCACAGTGTGTGCCACAGTGTGTGTCCCACAGTGTGTCCTACAGTGTGTGTCCCACAGTGTGTCCCACAGTGTGTGTCCCACAGTATGTCCTACAGTGTGTGTCCCACAGTATGTGTCCTACAGTGTGTCCCACAGTGTGTGTCCCACAGTGTGTCCCACAGTGTGTGTCCCACAGTGTGTGTCCCACAGTGTGTGTCCTACAGTGTGTGTCCCACAGTGTGTGTCCCACAGTGTGTGTCCCACAGTGTGTGTCCTACAGTGTGTGTCCCACAGTGTGTGTCCAGTGACGGACTTGGACCAACAAGAGGCCCTGGCATTTTTGACACAGAGGCCCCACGGCGGCGCATCGTCCAGCCAGGGGTGAAAAATTTTCATATTATTTTACAAATAAATATGCATTTTTACGTCATTTTAGATCATCAGTTCTTTATTTGTGAAAGAACAGGCATGGTGTCTCATATCCTCCTCCCACATATTACTGGGTACTGTGATTGATGATTTTACACATACTAACATAAAAAACACTACCATTGGCGGAACGTGTCAGAGCGCCACAGAGACACAGACTGTTCCACAGCTACCATAGAAACTCACTCACTGCCTTGCTGCACAATAGAAGAGGAGATATACAGACACAGTCAGTATGAATGATAAAATTGATTAGTGGCTTGCATGGGAGCATGTGGAAAGCTAACCATATGATGAGAATGCAGAAATTCAGAACACACACCACGCAATCAACTCACTACAGTCGCACTGGTACAGTAGACAACAATGCACAGCACACAAGATAATAAGGCAGCAGCAGAACCCCCATAAATTCAGGCACGTTCAAAGGCCAGACTAATAATCTCAGTTAATAATACTAGCTCTATGTCTACCAAAACACGAAAATCTGAAATCAAACAACACACAACTTCATCCTGAAGGCTTAGCCTACTTCCACCATTAACCATAGGCGCCCCCCTTGGACAGAATACAGCACAGCCAAATTTAAATCTTACACCAACCACAATGCATATTACAAAAGCTTCAGCAAAACATGACAAGAGCACTGCACAGCTGGAGTATAAAAATAAATATGTGTCTCTCAGTGTCTTCTTTTAAATCTCTTCTTAAGACTCACATTTATCGTATGGTCTTTTCTTTATTGATGGTAATTAATTATTGTAACTGTTTTTAAATTATTTGATGTTTTATTGTTTTATGTACTAATTGTTTTTATTGTTAAGCACGTTGTAAGCCCATTTTGAAAGGTGCTATACAAATTGAATTATCATTATTATTATTATTATTATCATTATTATTATTATTATTATGTCTTACCTTTAAGTAGTTAGCAGGCTGTGAAGGAGTTTGCTCTTCTCTGAGGCAGAGGCCGTACTGCTAGCTGCACTTGCTGCAGAGGTGCTCGGTCTGTCGCTGCCGGGAAAACACTTTTTTGTAAACAAATCTGATATTTTCGCATACTTTTCACTCTCCGCGAGCATAGCTTTCCTTTTTTTCTCTTTTTCTCCGCTCCACCCTTCTCCACTCGTCTTTTCGTGCCTCGATCCATTTTCTTTTCTTGTTGTGATGTTGTCATTGACGTTGAGTGCATTACCCATCATTTGTCACTTGTCACATGTCAAATGTCATCACTCAATGATCGCGAGAAAATGCTTGATGACCAAAAACACTTGATATTACCGGTAGCCCCATTTCACTCATATTTATTTAAAATTATATTTAGGCTACTACTTATATGTATATTGTGCCCGAAAAAAATGTTTCAGGCCGCCAAGAAAAGATTTATTTATTTATTTATTTTATTTATTTTTTTTAATTTATTTTATTTTATTTTTTTTTTGTCGGCCGCAGGACCATGCAGCCGTTCTGGCATTTGCCCAAATGCCAGATGGCCAGTCCGTCACTGTGTGTGTCCCACAGTGTGTGTTCATGTTGTGTGTTAACAGGTGACGTCGTGGCTGCAGGAGGTCGGAGAGGTTCGTCTGAAGAGTCTTGACGAACCCGAAGATTCTCTGGAGCTTCTCAACAGGAAACAAGAAGAATTCAAAGACTTCCACACGACTGCATACGTACGACACACACACGCACACACACACACACACAGATTCGCTGATGAGTGCTGTTTGAATCAGTGACCTTCACCAGTTTATTCTCTCAGCAGGAGTACTGCAAACGAGGCGAGGCGTTGTTGAGTCGTCTGGAGCGTTGGGGCAACATGTCGTCAGCCGACCTCCAAGTCTATGAGGTCAAAGTTCATTCTTTCTGGGCTCAGCTGCAGGACTTCTCCCAGCGGGTCAGCGCTACGGGCCAGAGCATCGAGCGGGCCCTCCGACTCTACAGCTTCTTAGACCAGGTGCAGTTAGAGCTGACCAACCAGCTCCGTCCATCAGCCCTCATCTCTGTCACTCTTCTCACACACACACACACACACACACACACACACATTCAGCAGCAGTTTGAGGTTCAGTGAGGAGGAGCAGCATTATTTTTCTGTTTTCATTTATTCATATTAACTCTTTCATTAACGTATTTAAACTGTAGTTGAGTCTCCAAAGTCTCTAAAGAGTCCAGAGTGAATCTGATCTTTATGTAAATGAAAACATGACGTCATTACTTCATGTATGTGTTTTCAGACTTGACAGTAAAACGTGAACATGACGTCTCATAACTCTGCTGCAGACTGTTTGTATGTTAGATCCATCAGATATCACACGTCTATCAGAGCAGGATCCAGACTGCAGCTGATGGTGTTACACGATGTTTGAACACAGGTTGTTGCTCACATGTGGTCTCATAGTGCAGCACAACACACGTGTTCATGTGTTCATGTGTTCAATCATCTGTTAAAGGTCCAGTGTGCAGGGTTTACTGCCATCTAGTGGTGCATTTGCAGAACTGAAACTTCACTCTTGTGCGGTCCTCCTCCTCTTCCTCCTCCTCCTCCACCTCCTCCTCCTCATACTCCTCCTCCTCCTCCTCCTCATGTCGTCCTCCTGCAGTGAAACTGACAGCTGGTATTGAGGCCAGGAGGGAGGCGGGTGAGGACGGGGGACAAAGTGTCAATATTGTTTTGTATACTGGACTGTGATGAGGGGGACGGTCTTTGTCCTCATGACCTGTACTGTAGGAGCTCTGTGTGTGTGTGTGTGTGTGTGTGTGTGTGTGTGTGTGTGTGTGTGTGTGGTATTACATGATTCTTTTCATCTTAAAGGAACATGGTGTGTTCCACTGTACGAACACTAACCAAACCCTTTCCTAACAGATGGACCATCACGGTAACCATAGTGATGTCAGGCAGAATCAGGTCTCAGCAGGATGTTGGACTGAAAAACTTCTGATGAGATCAGAATGAAAATGGTAAACACAGGTTGTTTCTTCCTCGTCCAGGTGATGGTAACACCTGGGTCATGACGCTGAACGTGTTTTCATTCATAATGCTGACACACTGTCTTCATCACAGCTCTCTGAGGCTGATCTGGAGCCTGCAGGCGGGTCCACAGTGTGACCGACTCGCAGCCAATCAGCTTGTTATGCTAACTTCAGCACATGTTGCTAACGGCGTCTGGTTAAAAGTTCCTGATCAGAACACGACTGTGAAGGTTTAGCACCAACACACCAGACTGACACCAGAGAGCTGACCCGATGAACGTCTGTAGCCTGGCCAAAAAGGTGCACCTGAGCTCACCACAAAGACTACAGCCGACAGCCAACCAGCACGTACGTTCTGCGCCTGCATGGGAGGAAGTAACTCTCCACAGCAGCCGATGCCGGTCGTCTGTATTCATCATTCAGAAAGAGAAACGAGGCTTGAGTTTACTTTCCTGGTCTCTCCTCTCGTTCACTGAGCTGACACCGATCTGATTCACCGATGGGCGCCACCGTCCACTTTCTGCATCAGACAAAAAACAGCCAACAAGGGCCGTGTAGTGCCAACAGTGTGGGAAACACCACAAAAACCAAGATCATCGTCTTGGTGTGTCAGAGCGCCAACAGACAGAATGAAGCTCTGAATTACAGACGGTCTTTAAACACATCCTGTTCAATTTAACTTTGGACACGACCAGAACACAGTTAGTGTTGGACGTGTCCTCTCAGTGTCTTTGTCTCTGCTGCTGATGGACATGGAGGTCACAGACGTGTGTGTGTGTGTGTGTGTGTGTGTGTGTGTGTGTGAGAGACTGTAGGGTATTGTGAAGTTTCCACTCTGATACACTGACAGCTAATATTGACCTGACACACACACACACACACACACACACACACACACACACACAGAGACAGACTCACAGCATGAAGCTCTGCTGTCGGCTGGAAACCTCGTATCTCCACATCATGGATTTGTCAGGACTTTTGTTCAAACATTTAACGTCCATGTGAAGTGTGTGTGTGTGTGTGTGTGTGTGTGTGAGAGAGTGTGTGTGTGTGAAGTCCAGGTATCACTCCGGTGCCAAGTTTTCCCTCCTTCCTGCTTTCACTCCTTTTACAAAGTCTTTGTTGCCGTGGCGACCCCCCCTCCCCCTCCTCCTGGGACCGCCCATCTGCCATTCAGTGTGTGAATGAAGGGGTGGGGGGTCGGGGGGGGGGGGGGGGGGGGGGGGGCTGTGTGTGGTCGCACTGGCGCTCTCAGCTCAGTCAGTCTGCAGCGCTTCAACAGCACACACTGAGGTATGACACATCTACACACACTTACACACAAACACACTCATGAGTTGTGTTGGGAGGAAGTGCAGATTTATAGTGAAGAGGTCCGTAGTTAGTGTGTGTGTGTGTGTGTGTGTGTGTGTGTGTTTGATCTAGTTCTGCAGTTGTTTGCTGGCGACAGTTTGACTTCAGAGCTCTGTGACTAGAAAACCTCTGCTCTTCTTTCTGTATGTACATCTAGCTCTGTGTGTGTGTGTGTTGCTTAAAGCTGATTTTCCTGCAGCAGAAAGTTAACAGTCTTAGTGAGCTAACAGCCGTTAGCGTCTGTTGATGTGTTGGTGAGCGGCTGTAGCTGTATCTCTGTGTGTGTGTGTGTGTGTGTGTGTGTGGGGGGGGGGGGGGGTTGTGGCTGTTTGAGGGTTGATGTTAGAGTGTGGTGTGTCAACATGTTACCATCATGACTGAATGATCTCTGATCTGATGTCAAATGATTCACCTTAAACTGAAGAAAACATAACGCTTTGTAGTTGTTGTGTAGTACTGTAGTGTTGTGTAGTTGTTGTGTAGTACTGTAGTGTTGTGTAGTTGTTGTGTAGTACTGTAGTGTTGTGTAGTTAGGGTTAGGGTTAGGCGGCAGTAGCTCAGTCCATAGGGACTTGGTTGGGAACCGGAGGGTCGCCTGTTCGAGTCCCAATATGGTGTGTGGACTGGTAGCTGGAGAGGTGCCAGTTCAGCTCCTGGGCACTGCCGAGGTGCCCTTGAGCAAGGCACCGAACCAAAGTAGATAAACTTAACTTAAACTTAAACTTAACTTAAACTTAACTTGTTGTGTAGTACTGTAGTGTTGTGTAGTAGTTGTTGTGTAGTACTGTAGTGTAAAAAGCTACATTTTACAAGATTACATTGAACACATCATGAGAACATTATGACTTACCTTCACCCAATACTCACTGTTACCGAATAGAGCTTGAACGCATCATAATGTGACTCAGTACAGCTCCCATTAGGTGTTAGTGCCATCGGCTGCTAACAGCTAACATTAACTAGCAGCTAACGTTAACTAGCAGCTAAAAGCTAACGTTAACTAGCAGCTAACATTAACTAGCAACTAGCAGCTAGGGCTGAACGATATATCGTTATCGTATCTATACCGAGATATGAACATGCAAGATATTAATATCCCAAAAGGCAACGATATTGATGATATAATTTCCCCATGAGTTTCCCCAGCTTGATCTGCATGTACAGCTCAGCCAATCACAAACATCCTTTTTACGCTTGCTCTAAATGTACAGCTATGGCCAGCCAATCACAAACCTCATTTCCTGCTTGCCTTGGATCGACAACAAAGCCAGCCAATCACAAACATCCCCTTGAGCGAGGGAGACGTGCTGCTGCTAGCAACTTGCTAGTACACACAACACATTTGCGACTAAAAATAGTTTTGTTCGAGCAAATTAAATCA